AACACAGGCCAACGACGGTTGATGCCCTGGACAAAGCGAAAAGCAGATGTGCCTGTAACAAGGCGCCGATTGACAACAACACCACCACCACCACCACCATCAACAATCACAAACACAACCACAACCACAACAACAGCAGCAACAGCAGCAGCAACAACAACAACAACAGCAACCGCCTCAGCAGTTATCTTGTCGAGTTCGACGCCAGTCTTCTACCGACGAGCCAGACGAGTGAAGAGGTCGCGTCTGCTTCCGGTCGCGGGGCTCGTCGATTCCTTTTGCTTCTGGTCATTTTGGGTCCTCTGCCGGGAAGACATGCACGACGTCTGCAAAGTGTATTGCAGCTCTGCCTCGGGCAGGCGGGAGGGTGCATTCTGCCGGTGGAGGCGAAAGATACCGGAAGACGGTGTCGAGCGGCGGCCGTGGAAGACCAGCAGACAAAAAGAGAGGAGGCTGCAGGAGAGACGAGAATGTGTGAAGATGCGATGAAGGGAGGGGGTGAGGCGACAGAGTGTGATTCTGAGGCGGCAGAAGCGAGTGGGGTGGCTGCGATGGTGTGCATTCGCGGGTGTATTGCTTGTCGACCCAACTCAGAACGGTCACGTCTGGAAGAGGAGAAGAAGGAGAAGAAGAGGGAAGAGAAAGACGAGGATGAGGAGGATGAGGAGGAGGAGAAGGAGAAGGAGGAGGAGGAGGAAGAAGAAGAAGAGGAGGAGGAAGAGGAGGAGGAAGAAGAGGAGGAGGAGGAGGTTGTCTGCGACAAAGTGGCCACTCGCAGAAGTCGAGCGGCGGAGGGGACCTGCCGCGCTGAGCTCCGTCTCGAGGTGACGGCTCACTGGGCTCGGACAGCTCCGAGGGACGCCGCGGCACTGGCCGGACTTCGGATGCTGCTCAGTCTCTTTACGGCCAGCCTCGTGAAGCCGGACTCGGCGGAGGCTGGCGGTCGCGAGGCTGTACCATCCGGACCAAATGCTCTGTCCAATGGACGTCATCTCGGAGTTTGTCTCGTCTGCCGGACGGCGTTTTTCGCCGCCTCCGACGCTGCTGACCCTTTCTGGCGGCATGCTCAAGATAGGCACCACCTCGACGAGACGGTTTCGGGCTCCAGACTGGCCGAGGCGGCGGTTGTTGTGCTCTGGCCGAGTCTGCGGATCGCCTGGTTTGACGAGCTTCAGCCTCCGCTACTCTTCTGCCTCCGGCCCGGCGACAGGATCGACTTGGAGCGTGACAAACTGGTTGCCGCCAAGAAACAGCCCGAAATCACTGCCACCACCTCATCGTCTTCCTCCTACTTTGCCGGCTCGATCGCGTCGCCATTTTTCGCTTTTTCCACCTCCTCCGTCGTCTCTTCTTCCACATCCACATCATTTTTCACCTCTTCCGACTCATCTTCTCCTCTCCTCTCCGCACAGTTTGCTCCTCTCGTTTCACCGTTTTCCCCTTTCCTCTCGTCCGCCCCGGCCATAGCACCAACCCCTCGTGAACATGCCGTCTTCAATTTGCTCGCACCCGTCGCCACATCATCGGCCATGGGGCAACACTGCTCTAACTTTGACCCGAGCAACGGACGCCTCTTTGAACCGCTCGGTCTGGAAGCGGTCTCCACGCCTCTAAACCCGCCAAACGCGGGCCTCGGCGCTGTCTCTGCCACGTCGACCGGCCAAGCTCAGGCTTCACAGTGCGTCTACTGTACCAACAGGGCGGTACATCCTCGTCTGGGCCGAGGAGAGACGTACGTCTGCGGTTACAAGCCGTACAGATGTGAAGTGTGCAACTATTCAACCACCACCAAAGGCAATCTGGCCATCCACGAACAATCCGACAAACACATCAACAATGTGCAGGCATGTTCTGGCCTCTGGCTCTGTGACACATTTTGCTTGATTCCTTCTTGCCAAACTTTTAGACCAGTCCTGTCCGAAAGTAAGGCTGACTCATTGGCCTGTACTAGTTGAGATGATGGTACCCAGAACTGATGACGTCTGGCGTACAACGGCCAGAACATGAGTCCATCTGGGTCGTGGGAGTGAGTGGGTCGTAACTGCAGAATAATGTTGTCGCTTGAAAAGCCGGCTGGAGTGGATTCGTAGGTTAGTTTAGCCACATGTCGCATGTCTTAATGAAGGACTTATGGTTGAATTCTTTACAATCATATAGATGGGAAAATAAATATTTAATCACTTTGAGAGACCTACCGCTGGTTTAGAAACATACTTAAAACGAATATAAGTAGTTTGTATATGAAGTGTAAGCATCCCATTACGCTTAAGGTGATAAAGGGACTGGTAGTTGAATTTTTCCCACAATAATATGAGTAGACATTACAGTTCCACTCAATTTCTCATAGCCTTGATTTCCTAAAAGGTATCCTCATCCAGGATGAACTACAGTCTCGACCTTGTTCACGTCTTACCAACACCCAGCAGTTAACATGTTAATATTATGTTGATAAGGCCTAGAATGCCCTTTGGGAAAACGGGGCGACGTTAAATTCAATGAAATTGTGAGGTCTTCTCATTTGCTTGTGGAGAAAATTAAACGACAAGTCCCTTTATCACCTTAAACTAAATGGGGTTAATGCACTTCATATAAAAATAATTTACTGGTAGTCTCGGAAACCTACCTACAAATGAAACATCCAAGTAATCGTAAAGTTTTAATAGCAAATGAAAGTTTGCTTTATCAACAACCCCACTACAAATATCGCCTATGGGAAAGGAAAAATTCACACCTGTTCTGTAATATGACGGCTTAGCGCCATGGTACGAATGGTTTATTTCGCTTGGGTGTGGTGGCATCTAGAGCATCGCGTCGATATAACAGAAACGGGGTAATATGTCTAATGCAACACCAACGGATTTATTGATGGCGTGGAGAAGTGTTCAGTTGAGTCGC